TGCAGACCAAAGTCTTCCAGTATCGGGGAGGGGGGGGGGGGAGCACCCATGGGTGACACCTCGGGGAGCAGGGGGGGGTCACGCTGTCCCCTCTGTCCCCGGAAGCATCTGGGACGTCAACCAGAAGTCCCTTTACCTGCGCAACGACCAGCTGGTGGCTGGGCATCTGCAAGGGGCCAACGCCGCGCTGGAAGGTGAGCGGGGGGACGTGGGGACACGGTGGGGGGACACCAGGCACACCTTGATGGCCCCTGCGTGTCCCCACCCCACCTCAGAGAAGGTGTTTTGGGTGCCCAACCGCGGCTTCGAGCCCGCCCGGCTGCCTGTCATCCTGGGCATCCAGAATGGCACCCGCTGCCTGGCCAGCCCCCCCGCCAGCCAGCCCACCCTGCAGCTGCAGGTCAGGGGGCAAGTGGGGACAGGGACACCGCGGGGATGGGGACGCGGCGGGAATGCCAGAGGGATGGGGACACCAGAGGGGTGGGGAAACCATGGGGATGGGGACACTGTGGGGATGCCAGAGGGATGGGGACACCACAGGGATGGGGACGCTGTGGGGATGCCAGAGGGATGGGGATACGGTGGGGACAGGGACACCAGAGGGATGGGGACATCAGAGGGATGGGGAACACCAGAGGGACAGGGACACTGTGCGGACATCACAGGGGTGGGGACACCACAGGGACAGGGGTACCATGGGGACGGGGACACTGCGGGAACACCACAGGGATGAGGACACCATGGGGACAGGGACGCCATGGGGATGGGGACACCAAAGGGATGGGGACATTGAAGGGATGGGGACGGGGATGCCAAAGGGCTGGGGACACCAGAGGGCTGGGGACACCACGGGGACGGGGACACCAAAGGGATAGGGACACCATGGGGATGTGAATGCCAATGGGATGGGGACATTGAGGGGATGGGAACATGGTGGGGACACCAAAAGGATAAGGACACCATGGGGACGAGGACACCATGGGGACGAGGACACCATGGGGACGAGGACACCATGGGGATGGGGACACCACAGGGATGGGGAAAGCACAGGGATGGGGATGCCAAAGGGCTGGGGACACCACAGGGATTGGGACACCATGGGGATGGGAATGCCAATGGGATGGGGACACCAAAGGGATGGGGACATGATAGGGACACCAAAGGGATAAGGGGGATAAGGACACCATGGGGATGAGGACACCACAGGGATGGGGACACCATGGGGACGGGGATGCCAAAGGGCTGGGGACACCGTGGGGCTGGGGACACCAAGGGGATGGGGACACCATGGGGCTGGGGACACCACGAGGATGGGGACACCAAGGGGACGGGGACACCAAAGGGCTCGGGACATGGAAAGG